AAAATATCTATTTATTTTATTTTATTTATTTTGAGACAGGGTTTCTCTGTGTAGCCCTGGCTATCCTGGAACTCACTCTGTCACATCCATACCTGGGATTCCCAGAGTATGGCTGTGAATTACATTAGTCAGGGTCTTATAAAGGCAAACCCCGCAAGACTCCATACTTCCTGCCTTCATCCTGACATACTTCCTGCCTACGTATGATCAGGCACGTCTTGAGCAGTTGGGACAACCAGGCTTGTGTACAGATGTGAAAACACATGGTTTGTTATCTTACATGAACAACAGCCCCCAGCATTTCAGGAAGTTATCTGTCCTTGGGCAAGTGGGGCTTACAGGTTTGAAGCATTTTTGTTTTATGGATCTATTAATCATAGCAATTTAAACTTAAAACATAACTTTGGCCTTCACACTAGTTACTGTCTTACTCCCATGGCTTGCTCATCCTGCTTCCTTACAGAACCCAGGACCACCATCCCAGGGACAGGACCATCCACAATAGACCAAGCCCTCCCACATCAATTACTAATTTACAAATATCCTATAGGCTCGCCTGCAGCCGGATCTTACGGAGGTATTTTCTCAACTGAGATTCCCATCTTTCAAATGATTATAACCTGTGTCAACGTGACACAAAACCAGCCGGCACCAGCACTTTCTTTTGATGCAAATGAAGTGTGTAGTTTTGTTTGTAATAGTCCCAGAAAAAAATCACAGGAATTACACCTGGAAAGGAACAAGTACCCAGAGATCATATACATGGAGGCCTTGCGCATGACTTTTTGGTTTTTTAACACTCTTATTGGTAAAGGGGGAAAGCAAGGTGAAGGGGCTTCTGCCCTGAGGCAGTCTTCTCTCCTCAGGTGAGCAGTATCAGGAACTAGATGGCTGGTAATCAATGACCACTAAAATTCCTCCTCCTTTAACTCATGGCTGCATTTCCCAGACAGCAGAAGAGTGAGTTGCGGAAAACGTTTTATTATAGGTGAGCAGTTAGGAAAAATCCCCAAGGAGTTAAGAAGACTTTACTGGGCTGAGGCATGGGCTTGGGGGGGAGCTGGTTGGTCCTTTGCCATGCAACTTGCCAGCTCAGCATCTTGACTGGGGTTCCAGACACATCCTCCAGAAGTCCCATCATGCAATGCTTCCAGGCAGCTGTGCTCATTAAACCTGCTATGTAAAGGGGAAGAAAGATTAAGAACAATAAACCAGCACATAAACCAGTGCCCCTAAATATTTTGGTCTATCAGGCCTCCAGCCAGGACGTGACTGCCAACAGAACCAAGGACACTCACGGCTTCCAGCCAAGACAGGACTAGTTGTCAAGGACAAGAAACAGAATGGCTCGGTTTTCAAGGTCCCAGTCCCTAAACTCCCCCACTGGTTCCTCTCTCTCCTGTTCCTAAGTTTGAAATGCCTCCATATAAAAGAAATGATGTCTGTGTGTAGACAAACTCCACAGTGAATTTTGTTAATTGGACTGGAACTTTCTTCTCTCAGCTGGTAAGACCCCAGGCGGACTCCAGAGCAAAGGTTCATTTCCCTCCCCTGTCCCCACAGTTGTCCCTGATGTCTTACTGCCAGGACAGATGCTGAAGCTACATAAAGTTCCATTCCTAGGAAAAGCAAAAATTTTTCTCTGTTTTCTATATAAAATATCATTTTAATGACTCTTCCCTCAGCCCAGAAAAAATACATATGTGCTCTTCAAATGTGTTATTTAGCTCTTTAGACTTTCAGATTTGTGTGTTTAATTACTTGCCAATGCAAGTAAGTTTTTCCATTTTGCAGGCCATTCTGCCACCTCTTCTTGTTACCATGTAGATTGAAGCCTTCCTCACTCCTGCCAAACATTAACTCATCTCACAGTCACACTTGGAGGTGAGTGCTGCTATTTCAAATTCCAAGGGACCTTCCTGAATTTCATTGCCTGCCAACTCCAGGGGGTTCAATAGGAATGGTCTGCATCTTCTTTGTGTCATATTTCACCTTCATCTATGAAAACAAAAATTATTTCAAATTCTGGAGCAAGGAGTGTGTGTGTGTGTGTGTGTGTGTGTAATGGGGGAGCAAGGAGGACAAGAGAGGAGGGGAAGGGGTGTTGACAGAAGTTTCCGTCCCACCTGGTCCCTCATCTGTTCAGTCCCAAAGAAACACACAAAGGCTTACATTAATTATAAACTGGTTGGCCTATTATCTCAGGCTTCTTATTAACTAACTCTTATACTCTTATATCTTAACCCATAATTCTTGTCTGCGTTAGCTATGTGGCTTGGTACATTTATCAGTGAGCCATTCTCCTCTTGCTTTCTCTGTGTCTGGGTAATGACTGCAGACTGAGCCTTTCCTCTTTCCAGAATTCTATTCTGATCTCTCCACCTATATTTCCTGCCTGGCCACCGGCCAATCAGCATTTTATTAAACCAATACAAGTGACAAATCTTTACAGGGTACAAGAGCATTATCCCGCCACACTTAACCCCCCCCCCCTTTAAAAAAAAAAAAAAAACAACAAGGACTCTGAATCTAATCTCCTTGGTTTAGCTTTTTTATTATTATTATCCATAACAACTTGTAACCAACACTCTAAACAAAGACAAACATCCATAATCCATTTTTGGAGAATTTGGGCATAGTTTTCTAAAATACTTCCTACAAATTGGGGGTGCTAATAATCTTATGGGGACCTATAGAAAATTAAGAATTATGGTCAAGAATATGGAATATTCTGTGAGGCTGGATCATCTCATCCAACAGTCTTGAGACTGTTCTGGATGTGGAACTCAGAGAAAACTCCAACAGAGGTCTTCTGAAATGTTGTATCATATGGAAAATACACTCCTATCAGAGATTCTTCAGGGGGGTTTTGGTTCACCAAACCACATTAGTCTGGAAGGAATCCACAGGTTCTCATCTTCTGTGGAAACAAAAGGAGAACCTCTTTTCCAAAGCAAAATATTCTTAGGCCCAAATTTTGAAGTCAAGATACTAT